GGTTTTTTTGCACTAGGAAAATGAATATTTAATCTAAACATTCCCATGTTTAGCTTAAGGGGGGGTGTTGGTGAAAACCATGCTATAGTTGATTGTTGACCATATCCATGGGTTGATCCGCTATGGTTGATCGTTGATCATATCTATGGTTCTAACCTTATGGTCATGGATCATCATTGATCATCATCGATTTCAACCATTAGCAAATGGTGATCTAATCTATGAGATCACCCAGCTATGAGATCATTCAATATTCGAATGGCCTATGCTAGAAGGAATCATCTATAAATACACCCTTAAAATCACCCTATAGCTAGTCATAATTAATTAAGGAATTAAGACATTAAGCTAAGATATCCTTAGCTATTTTTCCTTCTACTATTCTATTCTATTCTACTACCATTCCTCCTATTCTTCCTTTATACCTAGGCAAGCCATCTATTCCCCTCTATATTCATGAAATTTCCTTTGTCATTTATATACTATTTAGTATATACTGTTCATTTTTATTCACACTATACTACATGTAGGATGTTAAATATTAGGTCATATCTGAGGTGGACTCTAGTTCACTAAGGGAGAGATAGATAGTGCCAAGGTGGTATTATTCATTACCAAGCTAATGACTAAGATAATGTCGGATTCTTGGTAATCTGGTAATACAATTACGCTTGGAATCAGAGCATGTTCTTGTCAAATTGGATGATCTCCTTTCATATATCAGTTGTCGTCTGTTCTTCTATGTCCTTCCCCCTATAATGAGCGACACGACCAGAAAACTCTGAGAGCTGGTCGGAATAGTCTAACCAAAAAGGGTAATCTGAGTGAGTGTAAAATATACCATCTGATACCAAAGATACAGTGCTTCGACAGATAACTAAGAAGAAGAGATGGTAGTAAGAAGGATCTCCCATACCTAGTGATGATGTTATTCTATAGAAAAACTCAAACTTAGAAGAATATGGAAGGAAACTGGGCTTTCTAGATATTATAGGCCTATTCTGGAACATGTTCCAGAACATGTTCTAGGTGATCTGTTGGGTAGCCTAGAAAACCCAGTGTATCTAGATAGTACTATCTAATCATACTATTTATTCTATCTGCAGGAGGGTCAAAATATAATAGATTAATAACTTCAATTTAGCTGCTAGCTGACTGATGTGCCCCCTATCTATCATCTGAA